GTCTATTCATGATGAAATGTCAAAGCATACTGAGCATCTTTCTCTTTGACACCATGTCTGAAATCCCACGTGATCTGTCAAATACTAATGCATAAAAATCCTAACCTCAAAAAAATCATCCCTTTACGATAGGCCTGATAGTTTCTGAGGAATTAATTAATCATTCCAATTTTTTTTGTTTTTTTTTAATGAAAAAATTTAAAAAGTTCAAGTTAAAAAATTTATTCTGTGCCAATTTTTTTATTATTTTGTGTTAGAGCCTGTTCTGTTACAAAAATTAAGCTACTAAAAATGAAGCGACGGATAATTAAAAAAAAGAAATGGGTGGCCAAATGGAAATGCGCGAAGATTTTTTTGTATGAAATATAAGCAGGAACGAATATTGCTCATACGCCATGTAGTACTTAGTAGTGGTACATGAACGAACGAATAAAGATCACCCAGCACGGCGTGCGAGAAAAAAGTTATTTTTTTGCAGTGACGTCATTTTTTCGCCGCCATGTGAATAAAACGGAACGAAACCTGTGTGTGAATGAAATAACCGATTAAAAAATGACGTCATCAACCATTATTTTTTTTCTCAAATGCAATTACAAATACACGGTTGCCGTGCTGGGTGATCTTGTTAGTTGGTTCATGCTATTGGTATACGCCGCCGAGCCACGCCGCCGCCGGCGCCGATTATTTTTGAAGTTGACCACGCCGCCGCCGCAAAGCCTGTCGGCGTAAACCTCTAGTACTTAGGAGTGTGTATGAAAATGCTTAATAAATTTTTAATGCAATGGAGCGCGCCTGAGGCAGTGTCTCTTTCCGTGCAGAAACAATGTCTCAGTTTGGAAAAAATTTCGCTCGTACCGAAATGGAAATCTTGAAGCTTTTAGAGGGCGATGACTCAGAGGAGGAATGCACTGAAGATAGTGAAGACGAATACGAAATGATAGTAAATATCGTACAATCTGAATAGTTGACTGTGGTGGATAGGAAGGAAGCCATTGTTTTAAATACTTTAGTTAAGTTTTAAACCTTTCAAATAGGAAATAAACCAAACTCAGAAAATCGAAGGTGTAAATGGCTTCGAAGAAGGACTGGACGAAACTTTTGAAGAATATCAGGAGGACGTTCCGGTGCAAATTCGGCAAAATTTAGACGGATCTCCACATATTTACAACAAATAAATGAAATGGCGATATAGGCAAATATATCGATTAAGTAGAAAGACCATAGAACTTGCTCCCGTACAGTACAGTACTTGAAGCAGTTTTTTTTTGTGCTGAAATTCTCTCTGACATCGTTTACCAAAGCAGTCTGTGCAAAATGCTCCAAGCAACCCTCTCAAAGCAGATTTTTGTAATCTCAAAATTTATTGGCATCACGTAGGTGCAATGAACTTTTTAATAAAATACCGAAATTATTTTTCATAGATCCTTTAATTTCTTCCTCTTTCTTTTTTTTGTAGATAGGCTCCTCTGGCCCTCATGGTTGCAAATATGTAAGCATTGCTTTAGAGTGATGTAGAAAATAACCATCGCCTAACAAACAAAGTATTTAGGGGGGAAAAGTTTTGGCGAAATTGTGAGTTCTAGAATTAATTCGCACGCCGTCTTCAAAAGAGTCACAACCCAAAATAATACGTTTGTCATAAAATGCGAAAAACTATGTCTTAGCACATGATAATCATATGTATGGGCAAGGGCGACTTTACCTTAGGCTTTTTTAACAAATTATAACAAAAATTTTATCCAACCTTTGCTGAAAGGTAAATAAAATTTCTGTGTGCACTTTCAGCGCATAATTTCATAAATGCTAAATTTTTAACGAATGAAGATATCGCCAGTGTGCAGAAGCTAATGAAAGTGTCGCGAAAGAGCAGTCAAGAGATGATATTTTTTTTTTTTTAATTTATAAAATTTACATTTTATATGTATTGGACTGTAGTACTTTCGCTTTTTTATAGAAAAAAAAAAATCTGATACAAAATTTGGAATTTGAATGGTATTTCTCAAAGTAGGCAAGCTAGTTAGTAGGATGCAAATATATATATATATATATATCTGTGGTCATAAGCAATAACCGCCTCAGTCGACTTAAGAAAGAATTTAGTTATAAATGCAATTCAATACCTAAGCGCTTGCTGTGGTTAAAAAAAATAACATAACAGAGATTCGGAGCGGCCAACGGCGTGAGAATGCATTTTAACTGTCGGCGTCGCTCCAGCTTGTTGAACGCCAGCAATAGAAAATTGTTCGATTATTTCGATTTTAGTAGTGTTCAGAACAAGAAGGCACGCGGACGCTTAGAATTTTTTATTGCATTCACTCACTGCAGTATTAGTTAAGTGCATGAATACATATATGTAGTTAAGAGTTATTTTCGCCGTGATTTTTCGCGCGTAATTTTCAGCCGGTTGCTGTCGCCGTAGAAGACTGATATTCATACATATGTTTATGTATTACCGCCGACTTGCAAATGTATGTATCTCCAAGTGATAATCACCGTCATTTTGCATGTACAAATTTCAGTCGGTCGTTGTCGCCGTAGACCTACTTAGATATATATGTATGTATGTACCCTGCAAAAATCGCGACTATTTCAGTGACTTGAAAAATGGATCGAAATATATACAATATCACCATCGTCACCAACAGCAACGCTAACACATCTGGTCCCAGTACAACATTGGAAAGTACAGTGGGAAAAGATAAATTGTGTCTTCTAGTTAAGAGCTATGGGTGCCTTTATGATCCGAACGATCCTTTTTTCAACAGTAATAGAGAGAAGATGAACGCTTGGGAGAGTATCGCTAATAATCTGGGAAAGTCAGGTGAGTAGCAGTGCGCGCAAAGACAAAGTTAATATAACGGAGGTAATAACTTAACCCTGTAAGGACCATATCTGCATTGCATAAGCTCACAAACGGGTAACTATAAGGGCGAATAAGGCAGTTATTCCATTTTTTTCATTAAAAATTGATTACTGAGTTCAAAAATTGCTTTAACAATACATACTGTAATAATTAGAATCTGTTTTTTTAGTTTGTAATTATCCCCTTTAATAATTCATTTAAGGTGAAATAGAAACAGGCAAGAACCTGAAAAGACAGCAACATTATATTTTATTAAATGCAATGCTGCAATTTTTAAATTTACCCTTCTTATGCTCTGTAGTCTGCATTTGCAGCATTTTCGCTGAAAATTTTTAATAAATAAAATAATTCCACTACAACCGTGTCCGAGTTTTTCAGTAGCTTCATGAAAATCAATTCAACGCAGCCTTGGCTATTTAGCGTGGAAAAAAATATTTCCGATACCTTCAAAACTCTTTTTTTAAAGTAACTAGCTCCTGACCGGTAGTCTACAAATGTAGACACCATACAATCAATTTTACCCACACAAAAATTTATAGTTTTTCTCTCTGACGTTGGGATTTTTTTTTAGGACTTTGAAAGTTCAGGGATATGATAAATTCAAAAATGATTAAAACAACTCAGCGTAATGTAGAATCACACTATAGGTGTTAAATAAAAGAGAAATTACATAAATTATATCTTAAAAACATTCCTAATATAGCGCGCATTCCAGCACCGAAATGGTTTTTGCATCTACGATATTTTTCATAACTTTTTATGTTATACTACCAACTAAGAGAAGTCTCCCCGATTTTTTAATGTTTTTGTCTAGCCGTTCTCGATAAATCGATTTAAGAAAAAAGTCCTACTTTTTAAATACCCATAACTTTGCCAAAAATGGGCCGATTGGTACGTTTTTTTTAATTGGTATCTTTAAAAAAAGCTGACCGCCTTTTTTTAAATATTTTTTTTTTTAACTGTCACCCATTAGGCAACTTCTAGGCCTCGTTCAATAATGGTGTAATAATGAGCACTATTTTTTTCGAATTTTTAAATAAATTGAATTCTAGAAAATCTTGTCCAATTCATCTCAAGCTAAGTCAAATTAGATGCATTTATCAAAATCATAAAAAATATACATTGTAGATGAAGAAATTGTCTACATATTTGCAGAGGTCTTCCTTTGCGTTTGATCAAACGCTTGGATACTCGTAGGTACATGGCGTATGAGTAACATTATATTTCTTAAAAAAAATCATTGTATCGACCAATCGATTACGCGAAAGTGATATGCCGCGGCGCAGTACTTCCCACTGCAATTATATAGAGAATTTATTCCTCTACGCTGTGGTATATTTATCTTTTTGATGAATGTATTTAATTTGAAGCAGGCAAAGTTCTTGACGTTGAATTGGACAATATTTGTTAGTTTTTCATATATTTAAAAATTTATAAAAATCATAATAATTAAAAAATTATATATACTATTTTGACCCTCCGAATGTCAATTACTCTCTTCGGCAACAGGTGAGCACAACCGTTGCTAACAAAATCAGTTATCGTTATAGGCGGCATACACAGTGCGTCTGACTCGCGAGTCGGTTTGGATGTATTTGTGAAAATAAATACATATGAAAATATAGTTCATTCTATAACATTAAACATATAAATTAAGGTTTCACACTTTATATAAAGCTAAATTCAATCGGCAAATCTTAAGCTGAGATCACACGATTGCCGCAAATGCAAAGCAATCTGGAACAATTTGTATTGTGCTGTATTGGAACACAATCAAAAAAATTGTCCCAATCAAATTCTGTACAGTCACACGGTTGCCTCTTTTTATACAATTTTGATTGCCGCAAGTTGGCGAAAAGCAATATAGTGACAATAATTGTCGCAAACTTATCATCGAGCATGCGGCAATGTGGGCGCATTTTATGCATATTTGTTGTTGTTTGAAAGCAAAGAAGCAAAAACTTGAGTGCAATGAAAGCTGACGCATTTATTTAGAAGTTTGTGTGTACAGTTTGTTTTTATTTTTCGACGATAACTGCAACGTGCTATGTGGAGTTCAAGTTGCAAGAGTTTTCTTTTTAGTTTTGTTACGTAGAGATTTTTTTATTAATTACAAGCAAAAATTGGAACAAAATAATTATGTTTGTATGTTTAAATGAAAGTTGTGAATTTATATAATTTACGTGACGATATGTATTTGTCGAAATTTTTCAACAAAAATTCTTCACCAAACCTTTCCAAAAATTTAATGTGTTTTGATCGAGACCTTTTACGTAACATTTTTTATCAATATTTCCAATTTATTCTACTGAAGGAAACAGTCTGGTTAAAAAATAAACCCCTCCTGAAAGATGTCATTAAAAATCGTCCTTAAAAATGCCAGTTATGGAATTACTTTTGAAAAGATTTTTTCTTGTTTGTACAATAACTCATGCAATTTGTACTTTTTTCAGTATCTGAGTGCAAAGAGTGCTGGAAAACGATACGAACTGGCTACAAAAGATACATCGAAAAATGCAAAGCCAATCCAAATATCCAACCTTACTATTTGGCTGAGCATCTAACATTTCTCGAACCATTCGTAAGAAGAGAAGCTACAAAAGGAGAAGTACTAGTCAAGAAAAATATCCAAACATGGCGCAAGCGTAAGCACTTAACCAGTACCACTGCGATTACAAATACGAATGTAAAGACTAAGGGCTCAATCAAGGACTACTTCATTATACCGCCAAAGCGCTCATGTTTAGGGAATACTGAAATAGTAAACAACAATAAAGAGTTAGACAACGCTCCATCGACGTCAGCAGCAGCAACAGTAACTCGTTCAGAAGCAACAGAGCCACGAGCAGCAACAACATTAGAAGCAGCGGCTATAGCAACAACAGAGGCAACTAAGCTCCAATTTATAGCCAACCATGAAAATGTTAACAACAATGAGCAGGACAATTTTACGCCGATTTCAGACGAAGAATGGGCAGCAGCAGTTAGAGCAATGGAAACAATACAAACAATAACAGATTCACGATCAGCAACAACAGCAAAAGACGCACCAGCAACAAAAAAAAGCAAATATCAGGATAATGAAAATAAAATTCAGTCTGATGATAAACGATTTTTGGAAAACATATCGGAAGCAATGAAAAAAATGAATGATCGTTCGAAAAGTAATTTCAAAGTTCAGGTTTATGGTATCTTGGATAAATATCAAAATACCTGCACTTAGCAACGTAAATGTCCGGTAAACACTTGCAACGCAAGTTTTTTATTCACTAGTATATCGATAATCTTATCTTATAAAATAAATGATTAAATAAACAATTGGGTGTTATTATTGGGAACCTCCTGCAGATAAACAGAGTTTTCTGGTAGAAAAATATTGATTTTTAACTAATCTATGCCATTTCTACGAAAAGTTGTTTTTCGCCCATATAAAATCAGGGACCGAACATAACAGTTATTGATGAAAACTGTCATGGAAAAATTCGCTATGAAGGAAATGTTCTACAACTAAGTGAAACATACCAATCGATTTCGTTTTGCACCGAGACTCAAATTTGAAAATAAATTTTTATTTGCAATTTTTATGCAAAATATAAAAAAATAACAATTATATTTGATTTTTATATTAGAAATNTCTATGCCATTTCTACGAAAAGTTGTTTTTCGCCCATATAAAATCAGGGACCGAACATAACAGTTATTGATGAAAACTGTCATGGAA